CTACAACAATCCTACAACATAATGTTAAGAATGAAAGACTGATTGTTCCTCCAATAAGTAAACTAACACCCTTCTTGTCCCTTCCTTGTGCAGTGCCTGTTACTATTACGCAACATTTACATATATATATTTATTTATTAATATGCATTTATATATATTTAAATATCCTCATAGCACTTAAGTGTCAAAATGGCACTCTCAGTATTGATACGAAATGTATATGTACTGTAATGTTTTCATCTATAATATCAGACTGATTGTATGCAATTACCTTTTCCAAATGAGAAATGTAACAATTGTGCAGGAAAAAAAAATTAACAGAATAATCCTTGCATCCATACTAAACAGCAGTTATCTAAAGCACGTATGTCTGTGGTAGCTGCATTTCATACCAATAATTATATTTTCCTTTCTGTGCTCTCAATTCTATTAAATATGCATTTTTGGTTTCAACCAAATGTGTGGTTGAAAGGGCAGCAAATGAAAGTAACCACCATGCCCTTCGTATTTTTTGCTTCAAGGGTTTTTCTCTCCAACTTCAAGCAATGCAGTCACTACAATGATTTGTGCTGCTCTTTAACTGGGAGTCTTGAAGAGATAATACAAGAAGTAGAGCTGGTGTGCTGCTACTATTAACTTTACCATGTTGTGATCCTGCTAATCTAGCACCATGTCCAGTAGAGAGAGTGAAGCAGTTTCTTCCCATTCTGGATGAATGTGGATTTCAAAAGTTAAAATATTTATTTTCCTCTTCTCTCCACTGGCCACATTAAAAAGAATAACATGTTGATCCATCTATTAGGTTACGATAATAAAGCAACAGATTCTGGTCTATAATTTAAATATTTGCTCTTAGCAAAACACGCAACTCAGCAAGTTTCAAAATAGTGCTGTGGCACTGTTAATTCAGACGGTAAAAAAGAAAATCCCCAAATTTTTCTTCCTGTTTTTCTCCACAATGTTGTGTTTGTAACAGTCACACTTCCTGGTTTGAAGGTGTAGGGTCTTGCTAAGGTGAAAAACAGTAAGGATCAAATGGCAGAAATAGCACCCAAAGAAAAAAACAAATCTATTTTGTTTCCAGCTGAAGAATTTACTTTAGTGTCTCACTTCTACTGCCATATGTTATTGCCAGTGAAACAGATGGATTCCAGATGAAAATCCACTGGTCTAGAATCTAATTCTACAACTTAAGACATGCATGCTTAGAAACACATATGTAGGAACGACCCCATGAATCTGTTATCCTGGATTCAGTAGGCATCTGCCTGAGTTGGAATGTTATGAGGAAACGGTGAATCACTGCACTTAATGATAAAGCGAAGAAAGTTGTCATCACTTTCTAATCATTCTTACAGCAAACCAAAACATAAAGAAAACAGCAAAATTGCACAACTTTGAAGATGAATGCTTTAGAATAAAGTAATTAAAATCTCAAGATTAAGAATGTTTTTCCCAGTAATGTCTTAATTTAGTGAATTTAAATGACAGGCACAAAATGACTGAAAACCAAACAGGAGGCCTACAGAGGGTGGCAGCAAGGAGAGGTAGCCTGGGAGGCTGGGACATGATGAGCTGCATGCATGGGTCCTGAGCGACCTGGCGGATGGAGTTGCTAAGCTGGGTGGTCACACTCAGAGTTGTGGTCAATGGCTTGACGTCCAAGTGGAGGTCGGTGACGAGGGGTGCTCCTCAGGGGTCAGTGTTGGGACCTGCTTGGGTCTTGACTGATGTCAAGACTGATGGGCGCTTGCAGCCCAAAGCCAACTGCATCCTGGGCTGCATCACAAGAAGTGTGGCCAGCAGGGCCAGGGAGGTGATTCTGCCCCTCTACTCTGCTCTGGTGAGACCCCACCTGGAGTACTGCGTCCAGTTCGGGGGCCCCCAACATAAGAAGGACGTGGAGCTGTTGGATCAGGTCCAGAGGAAGGCCACAGAGATGACAAGAGGGACGGAGCACCTCTCCTGTGAAGACAGGCTGAGAGAGCGGGGGCTGTTCAATCTGGAGAAGAGAAGGCTCCAGGGGGACCTTACAGTAGCCTCAGCCTGCCAGTACCTGAAGGGGCCTACAAAAAAGCTGGGGAGGGACTTTTTACAAGAGCATGTGGTGACAGGATGAAAGGGAATGGTTTCAAACTGAAAGAGTTTAGGATAAATTGTATTAGATATTAGGAAGAAATTCTCCACTATGAAGGTGGTGAGGCCCTGGCCCAGGTTGCCCAGGGAAGCTGTGGATGTCCCCTCCCTGGCAGTGCCCAAGGCCAGGTTGGATGAGGCTTTGGGCAGCCTGGGCTGGTGGAGGTGTCCCTGCCCATGGCAGGGGTTGAACTGGGGGAGCTTTAAGGTGCCTTCCAACCCGAACCATTCTGTGATTCTAAGACAGTTAAAATATACCAAAAATTAAAGATAATTGATATCATAAAGCTATAAATGCTGTAATTTAAATTTATAACATCATAATCTTCATGAAATATCAAATCAATAAATTTTTTAGTATAAATGGTAATTGAAATTATACTCTTCAGTGTACACTTGCTAATAGGTACTACTTATTTTATAATTTAAACCTTTTGGACAGAAACTCCAGGGGCAGCATAAATGATACTCCTTCCTTTAATTAAAATTATATATTGGAATTTTACACAATTTATAATTTCACTCGGCTTTGTCAAGTTTTTTTTGTGTTCCTTAGGCAACGTTTACACCTGCAGTAAGGTTTCACTCTCAGAGAAGACCACAGGAAGAGTGACTTCATGCAAGAAATTAAAACTCAACTTCATCGATGGGACATAGCTTTTAGAACAAGCGAATGGAAAACTTCAGCATTACTCTGCAGAGCAGTATCACAGTTGAAACTTCAAAATGCTGAAATGCTCTACTAATAACCCAAGACAGCAGTCACCTGCTTAGGTACAGCAGCTATCCAAAACAGCAGTTGTGATGGGGACCACTTACTGGGAAATTATGTTCTCCAAGCTTTTCTGCCATAAATAATCAACAGTAAACACTTCTTCTGTTGTAGCATTAATCCGTGTTTTAGGCTGGAGACCTCTAATTTTTTGGTTTTTACTGAGCATGAATAATTTCTGTCAAGATAGATTTGAAAAACAGATCAACAAGTTCTGTATTTTAATGTGATGATCCTCACATGAGGAAAAGCTTCTTTACTGTGAGGGTGCCAGAGCATGGCCCAGGCTGCCCAGAGAGGTTGTGGAGTTTCCTTCTCTGGAGACATTCAAAACCCGCCTGGACGTGTTCCTGTGTGACCTGGTCTGGTGATCCTGCTCTGGCAGGGGTTGGACTGGATGAGCTTTCGAGGTCCCTTCCAACTCCTGATATTCTGCAATTCTGTGATTTCTCTGGTAAACAAAACACTCTATGGTTTTGGTTGTGTGCCCAGGAAACAATTCTAATTTACTTTAATGTGAATAAACATGTTTAAAAACAAGATAGAGCCAAACACTTGCATCTTTACTGTTAGTTAAAATGATTTGGGATGAAAACCAGAGCAGAAAACATGGGGCTTCTGCTGCCCTGTGGAGCAGCCAAGAATGACCATTACCATTGGATCAAACAGAACTTTCATTAGCTCTGTTTATATTGCATTTCTGTATGTGTGCTTCATTCTATCAAAACAAATACCTTATACAAGTCCCCAAAGGTTTTTACAAGTGTAAAAGACAGGCGAACAGACTGATTTTAGACAACAGTTTAAGATACGGGCTCGGAAAAAAGAAGGAAATAATATAATGTCACGAAACTATATACAATAACTGTACCCCAGAAGAAAATTAGGGTCTAAAATGCATTTCAGGGTGCTCACAGTATTAGTTGTGCCCTATTGAAGGAAGCAAACCT